AGCTTACCAGATGGATGGGAAGTAGTGTTTGCTGTGTATTTCCTCAACATATCAATATGTGAGGATGTGGTACAAAATATGGTTTTCCTGCAAATGAGCAAAACCATGCCAGAGGAGGATAAGCAATGTGTTTGTATTCTGAAAGAACTTTAGAAATTAGAAGGCCACTATTGACTTGAAACCTGCCCAGTGCTTTTTACTCGTCAAAATCTTGGAACTGATGCGATCGGGGTTGAAAAGATGCAATTGTTTCTGCTATTCATCTAACTATTTTGAGATCACTTAAAGGGCTCTTTCAGTCAAGAAACACAAGGACAACTGAAAAGCTATCTGCATTCATGGCCTTTGAATTATTAAAAAAAAAAAAAAAAAAAAAGAAAGTGTAAATTTAGGCCACTAAAAGAAGCTGTGCGTGTCAAGAGATTTTTCCAGCATTTTAGTGTGTATGTTATGACCAGTGACCTTTCTTTGGCTGTCAATCAGTTAAGAATTAGGCCACAGTCATGGTTTAATGGTCAACTGGCCATTATTTGAGAACAGTTATGGAATTAGTCATAGCAGCGATGCAGTGATTTCTGATCATGGGATGTATTCGGAAGGGGGAAATGGCCAATCGGCTTATAGGATCCTAGGAACTGTCTATCTTTTTCAGGATAAGTAAAACTGTCTTGGCTTTTGTTTTAAATTCTTAGTGCTAGTACAAAATCTTTATTCTTTCTTTGTTAATTATTGTTTCTCAGTGGCTCTTGTTCTTATGGTATTGATCATGGGTTGCTTACATTTCCCAGAAAAATAATAAAACGTTCTCCAAGCCAAGTGAAAGTTATCTCATCATCCCAAGGAGAATAATGAAGTGGCTCAAATGTTGAAAGATTCATGTTCTTATAGGTCAAAATTAGACATTTATAGTCACCATATTGCTACTAGTGACCTATAAAGGTTTAATCCTTGCCTAGGGCTGAGAAAACCAGATAACTTGGATGCTCATTGTAGTCTTGGTCATAAGTTTCCATCATCTTGCTGCCTCTGGGATGGAAGAGGATATATTCTAAGCCACTTAAACTGGGAGAATTGAATCAGTTCCTGAGTTGAGGGTGACTCCTTCAAACTGAGAGGTGGCATGTATGAAACTTTGCCCATGAGCTAGTGTTGGACTTAAGCTGATTTGCTGGGAAATTTGACACTGCAGCTGAATAGGGGGTCCCTTGGTTCCAGGCCCAGTGAGATCCCATTTTTCTAAACTGTAAATAGAACATTCCTCAAATATATTAAAGAATTAGAATATTCTTTGATTTCTCAAAGAGAGTTCATAGGATCATGTGATGCTATTGGAGTGGACAAGGCAAAGGCATCTGGTCTTTGCAAGGGTGTATTTTTTAAATTTTTAAAAATCTTTATTTATTTATTTATTTATTTATTTATTTAGAGCTGGAGTTTTGCTCTTGTTTGCCCAGGCTGGAGTGCAATGGTGTGATCTTGGTGTTACTGCAACATCTGCCTCCCAGGTTCAAATGATTCTCCTGCCTTACCCTTCCAAGTAGCTGGGATTACAGGCATGCACCCCCACACCCAGCCAATTTTATCTTTTTAGTAGGGAAGGGGTTTCACCATGTTGATCAGGCTGGTCTTGAACTCCTGACCTTAAGTGATCTACCTGCCTCAGCTTCCGAAAGTGCTGGGATTACAGGTGTGAGCCACTGCACCCTGTCTGCAAGGGTTTAAATATCTCAAAAAAACTTGTTTTATGGTTTCTGCTCTCTTCACTCTGTTAAATTATTATATATAAAACCATTGTTTTACAGAGGAATTTTATGAAGTAAACGCGAGGCTATATACTGTCATGGGTAGAAGATTGAATTATATATTAGAAGATCTGGGTTCTAGGCCTAGTTCTTTTCTTTGGTAGTGGTTCAGCTTGATAAGGTCACTTGACTGCTCTGACACTCATTTTTTGTTTGTATACTGGTGGTTCAATTAGTGGCTGTTATCTATGACCTTGCCCCTTGTTGTTTAAATAATGTAGCTTCTCTAACTTTGCTCTTGGGGAGTACAAAAAGGCTAACTGTTGAGATCAGTTCTTTTTTTTCAGGCAAAAGAATAAGAAGGACATTTTCAGTGCATTCTAAAATGTTTTGCTTAGAAAGCTGTATAATAAAACCCAGGGCAGGGAGAGGGTAGCTGTATCTTAAATGTGATAAGAATACAGTCATTATTTCACAAGAAATTGGGTCACAGTCATACAAACGGAAGAAGAAAAATTGTTGTGTGGACCAGACAGGTGGTCTTTGGAAAGAAATGAATCCATGTGCTGGCAAAGTGTGTTATTAGCTAGCTTAGAATAAAGCCAGCCATGACTAATGTAAAACCACCATGGTTTTCCCTGGATCAGAGCTCAATTGTACTTCTGGTGGAACTTCTTTTTAATGAAGCCAGCAGAATGAAGACAAAAGCCATGGACGTTTAGCAAATATGTGAAGCTGTGAAATTTACAAGATGAAAAAACAAACCAGGAGACTGGAATATGTACAGCTATCCAAGCTGGGGGAATAGCAAAGCCAGTCAATTCCTTTGGACTTTCTTCTTTCTGGACAGTAGTAGAGGCATACCTTATATGGCAGAAAGGAGGAGGCTAAGGACTTGTATTATACTAATTTCACCCAAAACTTCTAACTCATTCAGTCCATGGGTCCCTGATGTATGCCTCTCAGTGGGGACCACATTGTGAAGTGTAAAATACAAATGATATATAATTGGGCCATATGGTAACAGCAGAAAGTAACCAAGGGTTTTGTGCTCTTTTGTGACCTTAAAAAATAAACCACTGAACCTCTTCTTAAAAATATTAACAAGAAATTAATGCAATGGAGGTCCTCACCTTATTTCTGATCCTCAGGGAAAAGTTGTGTAATGGTTTGATACTTTTGTTTTGCTTCTGACCCGGAACCACATTCAGGCAAATTAATCCTAGTTTCTATACCATATCCTTAAAAGGAAAAGAGCAGGGAATGGAGTCAGGGCCAAGCTTGGGAAAGGAGCACTGGGGATGGGGTGGAGGATCTACTGAAGTTTGAATTATGTTCCTTTTACTCTGCATGTCACCATGTCCCTTAAGTCAAGAGGGACAGCTTTGCTGTTATTATCATCCTGGTCTACTGTCCTTGTTTCTGACTTCTGCTGGGAGACACAACTCAGTTGGGTGCCTCATTTGTATTTCCTTTTCCAGCTTTCTGGTCTACTTAACTCTTGGTTCTGGAGGTATTCTTAATTTCATCAATTCTTGCTGTATTCTTATAGCTCGCAATGATTGCCCCAGCCCATCTCTCAGGAAAGAGGGATTTGGACGTCTTCTGTGTTGTTGCATGGTCGCATCTCACCTGTCTAAGGTGAGATGGTACATGAAGATGTTGCTTTGGAACTAGATGGGTGAGTGTCCTCACAGACATGACAGCAGTGGCAGGTAGTACTACTGCTTCAGCATCAAAAGACCTCTTCGGCAATGGCTGCTTCAGAACGGCACAACTGATCAACCTGCTAGAATGACCACCACCACAAAATGAGAAAATAACCCTAAATTCAAAACTTACTGATATCCCTGCATATTAGAGTTCATGAAGATTAAATTAGGTTAGCACATAGTAGCACATTCAAAAATACGAGTTTCCTTCGTTTTCTCTAAAAGAGAAATGCTTTACAAATGCTTTTGAACTTTGAAATTGTGGGTGTCACAAATAGAAGTCAAGTCCAGACAGTAAGACTTTCAGGGGCATTTACCTGGCTCAGGGTAGGAAAAGTTTCCTCTGCTGTTGTCAGAGGAGGAATCCTGATGGTGGATGCTGTGAAATCCTAATGTAATTATTTTAACAGTGCTCTTACATATGGCTTGTGATACTCTTATTAAATATCTGTCGAGTATACAGTTACTGTCAGCACTGTTAATATGAATTCATTAAATATTAACCTTTAATCCAATTTTGTAGCTGAGTGGCACTGTTAGATACTTACTTATTTCTTCAAAGGTGGTAATTTCTATCAGCCCTCAGACAAGTATTAGTGGATGGAGCACAGGTGCAGGATTCCTGGCTCTGCCACATGTTCGAAGACCTAATCAGAAGACTGACTGGATGCCGATTTTTCCATCTAACAGCACTATATGCTCTACATAACTTGGAGTTTAGTGAGGATCAAGAGAGGTTGTAGAAATTAGAGTGCTGAGAAGGCAAAAAGCCTAATGGGGAAATAATCTGACAACTTAGTAATGACCTTTCTTTCAATATAGTTCCCATGCTTTGAATCAGTTTGGTCTTTCAAACTAACCTCTTTATTTAAAGTGCAGATATACCTCAGAAATATGGCAACTTTGATTTCAGAGCACTGCAATAAAGCAAATATCACAATAAAGCAAGTCATACAAATTTCTTTCTTTCCCAGTGCATATAAAAGTTATGTTTATACTATACAATAGTCTATTACGTGCGTAATGCCATTTTGTCTAAAAAACAACATACATACATTAATTAAAAAGTACTTTGTAGCTTAAAAAAGGCCGATGATCCCCTGAGCCTTTAGTGAGTCATGATATCTTCCTGGTGGAGGATCTTGCTTCAATGTTACTGGCTGCTGACTGATCAGGGCAGTGGTTGCTGAAGGTTGGGGTGGCTGTGGCAACTTTTCATTTCTTTTCTCTCTCTCTCAACAGACTCTCGCTCTGTAGCCCAGGCTAGAGTGCAGTGGTGCGATCTTGGCTCACTGCAACCTTTGCCTCCCAGGTTCAAGTGATTCTCCTGCCTCAGCCTCCCGAGTAGCTGGGAGGCACATATCACCATGCCCAGCTAAGTTTCGTATTTTTAGTAGAGACAGGGTTTTACCATGTTGGCCAGGCTGGTCTTGAACTCCCGACCTCAAGTAATCCGCTCACCTCAGCCTCCCAAAGTGCTGGGATTACAGGTGTGAGCCGCCATGCCCAGCCTTGCTGCGGCAATTTCTTAAAATAAGACAACACAGTGCTTGCTTTGGTAGCACATATACTAAAATTGGAACAATGCAGAGAAGATTAACATGGTCCCTGCACAAGGATGTCATGCAAATTCATGAAGCATCCCACAGTTTTTTAAAAAAAGACAACAATAAAGTTTTCTGTATTGATTGACTCTAATACATTCCTTTTGTGATTTCACAAAAGGAATGTAGCATACAATACTGTTTCATAGCATTTTACCCACAGTAGAACTTTTTTCAGAATTGGAGTTAATCCTCTCAAAGCCTGCTGCTGCTTTATCGACTAAGTCTGGGGAGGGTTCCAAATCCTTTGTTGTCATTTCAGCAATGTTCACAACATCTTCACCAGGAGTAGATCCATCCCAAGAAACCATAAGAGACATGTGCTCATCTATAAGAGACAACATCTCATCAATTAATGTTTTATCGTAACATTGCAGCAATTCAGTCACATCTTTAGGCTCCACTTCTCTCGCTCATTGTACCACATCTGCAGTTAGTTTATTGAAGCCTTGAACCCCTCAAAGTCATCCATGAGGGTTGGAATTAACGTCTTCCAAGCTCCTGTTAATGTTGATATTTGACCCTCTCCCAAGAATCACAAATGTCCTTACTGGCATCTAGAATGGTGAATCCTTTCCAGGAGGTTTACCATTTATTTTGCCCAGATCCACCAGAGGAATCACTATCTTGGGCAGCTAGAGCCTTATGAAATGCATTTCTTAATTAATAAAACTTGAATGTCAAAATTATTCCTTGATCCCTGAGCTGCAGAATAGCATTTGTGTCAGCAGGCATGAAAACAACATTAATCTCCTTATACATCTCCATGACAGCTCTGGAGTTCCTACTTACATTTTCAATAATTGGTAGTATTTTGAAATGTATCTTTTTTTCTCTCAGCAGTAGGTCTGAACAGTCTGAACAGTGAGCTTAAAACAATCAATAAACTATGCTCTAAACAGATGTGTTGTCTTGCAGGCTTTTTTGTTCCATTTGTACAGGACGGGCTGAGTAGTTTTAGCATACTTCGTAAGAGCCCTAAATGCAGCTGATGACTTTAAGTTGAAGCCAATGATCTTTTGGAATTGTAAAAGATCATTGGCTTCAGCGTAAAGACACCAGCTGCATTTGACTCAAATATGACAGACCACCTGTCCTTTAAAGCTTTGAAGCCAGACATTGACTTATCCTCTCTAACTATGAAAGCCTTACATGGCACCTTCTTCTAATTTAAAGCTGTTTCATCTACATTGAAAATCTGTTGTAGCCATGCTCATCAATAATCTTAGTTAAATCGTCTGAATAACTTGCTGCAGCTTCTCCATCAGTACTTGCAGCTTCACCCCTTACTTTTATGTTATGAAGATGGCTTTTTTCCTTCAAACTCATGAACCAGCCTCTGCTATCTTCAGACTTTTCTTCTGCAGCTTCCTCTCTCAGCCTTCATAGAATTCAAGAGAGTTAGGGCTTTGCTCTGAAATAGGTTTTGGCTTAAGAGAATGTTGTGGCTGGTTTGATCTTCTATCTAGACCACTTAGACTTTCTCCATATCAGCAGCAAAACTGTGTTGCCTTCTTATCATTCATGTGTTTACTGGAGCAGCACTTTTAATTTCCTTTGAGAACTTTTCCTTTGCATTCCAATTTGGCTAACTGGTACAAGAAACCTAGCTTTTGGCCTGTCTCAGCTTTTGATATGCCCTCCTCAAAAATAAAAAATCATTTCTAGCTTTTGATGAAAAGTGAGAGACACGACTATTTTTCACGTGAACACTTAGAGGTAATTGTAGTATTATTAATTGACCTAATTTTAATATCATTGTGTCTCTGGTAATAGGGAGGCCTTAGGGGAGGGAGAGAGATGAAAGAAAATCATCAGTCCCATGGAGAAGTCAGAACACACACATCGATTGATTAAGTTTGCCTTCTTATGTTGGCTCAGTTTGTGGTGCCCCAAAACAATTGCAATAGTAACAGCCAGGATCACTGATCACAGATATCCATAACAGATATAAAAGTAATAAATAAGTTTGAAATATTGTAAGAATTATCAAAATGTGACACAGACACAGGCAGTGAGCACATGCTGTGGGAAGAGTGGCACCGAGAGGCTTGGTCGCGCAGGGTTGCCACAAATCAATCTGCAAAAAATGCAGTATCTGTGAAGCACAGGAAAGAGAAACACAGTAAAACAAGGTTTGTCTGTATTAATTCATTTATTTATTCTTTTTGTTATTATAAAAACCTATGTCATTGCTGGCCAGTTATGCTGAGCACCCTGAGGTATAAATCATATATTTTCTCTAAAGCAGGTTAATGAAACATTCAATCACAAATCACCTGTTTAAAAGTTAATTCATTGTGCTAAAACTGACTGTTTATAATTTTGTAATATTACAAATCATTTGCTAAACATTATTACTAGGTTTGTAGACTTTTCTTGGCCTGTGGGAACTGATGAGCATTAAGCTATGCGTGGTGGTTTTCGGTGTCTCTCTTTCTTTCTGTCTTTCTTTCTTCATGTATGTACATATGTGCCCATATATAGCAAAGATCTTCCTTAAAAGAAATTGTAAAATGAAATCTGCGTATGTGAAGTAGCTAAAATATTGCTGACACTTTTGAGCAGCACTCTCCCTTTGCCTCTTACCATTACCACTTAATGACTCCTCAGGTGCTGCCACGGAACTCTTGGGGTCTGAATTATGTGGTTGAGAGCCATTGGGCCAGCAGACAAAAGAAGAAGAAAAACATTTGAATAACTCCTTGATAGAGTATCCTCTGTCCTCCTCTCACGTGTATTAGTAGGCAGTAAGCAACTGGGGTAGTAGTCAACGGGTTGAAAGATAATTTATCTTTTCTTATCTGCTTGTGAATCATTCATATATTGTTCATGAAACAAAGAGATTTTGACTCTCTCTTCCCCATCCCATTTGCCTAGACATGTAGAGGACTGTGTTCTGTGATCATACTTGGTATGACTGAATTAGATTATTGTGTGGAGAAAAGCAGAATACACTTGTTTGCAGAGTTCTGTGCTTTATTGTCCTGTAGAATAAAAAGGAAAGATGGGAGGCTAATATGGGCTCCCCAGTATTTTATTTTGCCAAAGAAAGAATATTTCAAAGAGCAATCACTAAAGGATACTTCAAAAACTTTGATACTTCATAAAAGAAAGGACACAAAACAGTAAAATTTTGGAATATAATAATCTCAGAGTTGTTCAAGAGTCAACATTGGTGGCTACTTGAACAGAAGGAAGAATACTTTCTTTTTGGAATAGGACTTGGGATTCAACCCCAGCTCTGCTGTCATTACCTATGTAACACTGGCTAAGATAATTAATCTTTCAGAGCCTCATCTGCAAGATGAAAACATGTATCTCACATGGCTGCTAGAATGCCACTGATGAATAAATGCCACATGTCCTTGGAGTTTTGTACACAGTAGGTTCTCAATAAATATCCATTCTCTCCCTCTTGCACCAGATTCTTCCTTTCTCTTCTTACTTATGTCAGAGGATTGTTTTGATGTTCAAGTAAGAAGATAGTGAGAAAATGCTTGGTGAACCTTAAAGCACTATTTAAATTTGAGGTTCATGGGACATACGGTGCTTTGTGTTAAGCATATGCACGTTCCTTTTTAGAAGATAATGTGAATAAGTGGCACAATCACACTCAGGGAGCAAAATGTAATGACTTTGTCTTATTCCTTGAGGGCTCACATCATCTTTTGGGTGAAAATATACATAACATACAGATAGTATTTTAGTAAGTACTGCCCATATAGTGCACATATCTTTTGCATGTTTTTTAAACAAAGAACATTAACCATTCAACTCACAGATTTTCCTGCATGACAAACTAAGGTGTAGTTATAAAGTCCATTGGAGCTGTAAAGTGTTTGGAATTATATTGCAGTAAGTGCTATTGCATTCAATCTCACCGAGCTGTTAAGGTGTTTTATAATGGGATGTAAATATTTATGGCCTGTTTGAGAGTAACCAAAGAAAAGTGCTTTTCATTATTTTACTTCATATCCTGTTAGCCAGGTATATCTTTTAGTCTTTCAACGCTTTCATAGCTTGGAAAGTGATGTCAACTTTGGGGCAATATATGATTGAGAAAAGAATTAGTCTACTTTTGTCACTGTGTCAAATTGCCTGGTAGCTGCTTCACTGAAGGAGTGCCTTGGGAGCACATACTACATTTTCTGCGTATTCTTTTGGTACCAAGTAGAGCCTTAAGAATGCTTCTATAGATGTATAATGAATAATAATTGTCCATAGCGAACAAAGCCCTCTAACGTTCTACAGGGAAACCTGTGAGTTTCACATTCTTAACCTGGTTTGATACCTCCTGGAGAGTTTTAAGTTAAGAAAAAGTATTTCTGCTTTAAATTCCTTTCCTTCAGAGAAAACTCGAAAAACAATTGCATACATTTCTTCAAGAATAAAATTCTGTTTTTAGGGCTCAATCTTAGTTCTGACATTTTTGTATGTGTAGCTCTAAGGCTATTGCAGCCATCACAGGTGGTTCATGCAAATGAATTTAAGCTATTGCTCATCACTAAAGCAAATAGGAACGTCTGGAACACACATTTTATTAAGGAAATAAGAAAAGATGATACTATTTTCATTATCACATACTGTGCTTTACAACATCTAGTTATAGAAAACAGGAAAGGTTTAAAGAGTCAAAAATAATGACTTAAAACCACTTTGTTCTCAGATCTGTCACTGCAGTTTTTGTCAGATAAGTTTAAATACTGATAATTGGTTTATGCCAAAGGACAGAGGACAGTCATTTCAAAGCTTTCCTGTTCACAAACTATTAAATTGCTAGAAATAATAATCACAACAAAGTGACACATAATTTAGAAAGAATGTAATGCATGCTTTTAATCAGAACAACAATAACACACAAAAAAACTAATAACAAGTATGGAAATGGCAGAAAGCATTGAATTCAGTAATAGACACAAATGAAAAGCAACTGCTTGACAAAGACAGCTGTGAATGGTCTGTGTGCCCCTCACATCCCCCCATCTCATAAAAAAGATGTTCACATTTGGAAATATGGTTACAAATGTAAATCGCTGATTTCTTGCA